ATTATAACAAACCTAATGACGGGTCGATTTGGTAGTCAAACGTGCATTTGTCACGACATTCAACGGGCGAGTAATTACCGGATTTAAATACTTTGCACTCAACACAGGGCTGTAATTCGTTGCACCGGCCCTCACAACTCTGTCACAGCGCACAGGTATGCAAAATACGTACAATATATTCATTAGTACATTAGTTCATTGTACAGTACATGCAATATAGCCTAAAAACATCTCAATAAAAATAAAAATGAGTGCAAAACTAACGGCACAATCCTCGCACATCTGTCCGTAATAGCCTTCATTGCAATAGCATTTGCCGCACCGGCAGTCTCCGTGTCCGGAGCATAACTTATCCGACTTGTCGTCATAAACGCATGTGTTATTTGATGTGCTGCACTCGCACGTGGGTCCCGACCATCCCGGCTAACCATCGCAACACATCCCAAATAGTAAGTATATAACAAATGTGTCAACTTAGTAATTAGTATTTTATTACATTTACTCTATATTTGCCATCACTTACCACACAATGACAGTTACCGTCGCAACAGAAGCCCCGTTCGTGTCCACCGCAGGCCTGGCCTCTGGGGTCGCGATTGCATGAAAAGGTGTCGCACTCACAAAATCTGCCCGAAATTACTTCCGTCGGATTGGGTCGGGAGTGGCACTCGCACTGACCGCACACACAATCGCCCCGATTAGCGCATAGTATGCTTTGGTTGCCGTGCCTGTCAACCACGATCAATGGTGTTATGATTAATTGAAACAACTCGATGACATGGCCCACACACTCACCGTCTGCATTGGTTGAGCATATCTTCGCGATAGGCGTTATTGCCATCGCATTCGCACCGTTTCCCAAACCGATTCTGATTGCATTCGCAGACACCGCAGGCATACGTGCCCTCAGCCGTGCATTGGGTGGCGTTAGGTTTGGCCAACGGTTCCCTTTCGCACTCGCATTCACACATCACATGCAACTCGACGACTGTGTACTCGTCGATACCGATCGGTGTAATGACAAACGTCTCGCGTCCGCCGCCGACCGGGCATTTGGTCACTTTGAGCTCCACATCGAACTCCACGGTCTGCCCGATGCCCACGTTGTGACACGTGTTGGTCTCGCTCTTGTGTGTGGCCGACAAACACGACGATATGTATCGGATCTGAACGGCGTCTGAAGAGTTGTCCCTCAGCTCCACCTTTGAGGCCAGTTTCTGGAAATTGTCTCGTATTATGTCCACAATGTTTGACGAGTCGTCCTTCAGTAGACCGGTTGTGGAGCCGGGAATGTGTTCACTCAACTGTTGGTAGACTGCGATACTGTCGTCGGGCACCGCGAAGATTATGTTTGTCTTGGATTCGGTGACCACTCGGTTGATCTGCGCCAACGATGGATAGTCCTGTGCCTTAGACTCGGTGTAGAGGCCGTCGTCGCTCAGATGACATTCACCTCAAATATAGCATAAGTGGGAGAGAGATATGTCTGGCATTAATCTCAAGAACTGAACGATCAGCTAATAATAGTTACCATCGTTTGGGTCGACAATACCGCCGAGTTTTCCGTCGCCCGCGTAATGAAAGGTGGAATCGGTGGCGAAGAGTATGATCTTACGGGACAACTGTTGCCAATCGATGTGATGTCTGCAGACAATCACTTGCATAATGGCATCGAAGCCGCCCTCAGCGTTGTCCAGATTGCCGGACAGCGGTGTGGAGCCGACCTCCACAGCGAAACGCGATATGTTATGACTGAGCGGCAGGTGATTCCTGAAGCCGTAGGGCGGGGCGCAGGCCTGTTGGTCAGTACACGGGTTGGCCAGCTTTGCCGGAACCATAGACGCGTACGGCATCACCACCTTATCGATGAACGACCCGAACCCCAGCCGAAACGATTTGGTGATGTTATTCATGTGAACGGCTTTTTTTGAGTGACAGAAATGTTTTTGTTTTGTTTTAATTATTATTATTTATTTATTGTAAGTCAAGTGAATAGCCAAATACCGATACTGTCGGCCAGTTCGACCAGTTGCTCCTTATGCTCTTTCATAGAGTAAGTCAAATCCATTAAGTAATATAAGTCTATGGGATAGTCGAGTACCTGTTCATACTTTATGCGAAATCTTTGCACATCGTCTAAAA